CCTTGGCCACATGGATCTGTCAGACCAGCCCTGCTGCTGGCCCTGGAGGAGCCCCTATGGGAGCCCATTGTCTCCCGTGCCTTTTGCCCAGAAGAACAGAGACTGCTCTAATTGCAGAGGCAGCTGTTTCCCTCCCTCCTTTCTGATGACAGCTGTTTAATGCTGCTGCCTGAGCTGGCAAGGTTACTGAGGAAACGAGGGAGATATTGCTGCCTAGGTTTAATCTGTTTCTGTCCTCAAAGACTTTTCTTTTTAGTAACAGAATTTTTGCCAACACTGATGACGTTTTCTCAGTAAAGATTCTTATTTGCTTTCATGCTTTTTTCCTAAGTCTTTGCAACAGAGCAGACATGGAGTATCTAAAGGTGGATTATAGAAATGGCTAAACGTAGGACTTAAAATGGGCCCAGGTGTACGAAGAGTGCTCAGGAGAAAAGAAAAAGCATTAATACAGACTGAAAAGCTCCAGAAGGAATTCTTGTTAAAGTTTAACAATAGGAAATGGTTTACACTACCTATGATATTCTTTGCTGCAGGGGTCGTATAGTTAAGCTGCTCAGGTCTGTAAAAATACATTGGGTGTCATTCTAAGCACTGACTTCTGTGATTTACTTGTTTTATCATCTTCAGTCCCAGTAGAGAAAATAAATATTTAATCTCTCAAGGCTGTATTCTGACTCCGAAGGCTGGTTTTGGCCTTAACTCATGCACCTACTGCCCAACTAGTGGTGCTAAAATTATTGTGTGAATTTGTATGAATGAAAATTTATTTAGGTTTACCATGCCAAGAGAAGGAAGACAATGAAAAAAGAAACTGATGAGATCGTAAGTTCTTTTAGGGATATAGTATAAAGGAAAGAGGCATAAATAGCAGCTCAGATACAAATAGCAGGTCAGTTTGAGGTAGGTCTGTTAGAATTAATGTGTGCTATAGAATACTTTTGCTAACACTTCTAAGTTTTCTTCAGTAATCAAAACCTGTAAAATTGTGGTATAACAACATAGAAATCTTAACAGGAAAACCTGAGGAGTGGCTGGAAGTGGTAGGCAACTTTTGACAATAGGCTGACATGTGTTGAAAAGGCAAGTTGAATGGAATATAGTGCTTCACAAAAAATAAACAGCAAGTGCAAAAGGAATCACTGTCTTTTAAATTTAGTGCAATGTTTCTCAGCATATCAGGGGAAATAAATAACAGAATGAAAGATGTCGTATGTAATTAGATTTTCTAAAATCCCTTTGAAATAGTTGAAGGAACTAGGCAACAGAAGATGTAAGATGGATAATAGTCATGTAAAACAGTAGGAATGTGTGAATCCAGACTGCATGTGACAAATGATATACTTCATTGTGTAACTTGTTAGGAGGCTACCACTTTGAATACAGCCTTCATGTGTGGTTCTACTTTTCTTTCCTCACTTTTAATTCCAACATCTACTTGAGATTGCTGAGTTTGCAGGCTGTTGCCAGGAATGACCGAATACATATATTTGCATTGCAGTGTGAAGAGGGACACTGATTCGATAATGCTGATGAGAAAGCATATACAACTTACTAACTGACACTGTCAGCCAAAATGAGAGTTCAGTTGTATTTGGAATGAAGTTGTGAGGAGAAAAAAGAAAAAGCATTGTTCTTCGTGTGTGTTTTCCAGTCATCCATTCTTTAGGATATAGTAGTGCTCTAATCTTCCAAAGAAGAGATTTGATTTTTGGTAAAGGGGACCCTTGTATTGCAACTACAACTTCAGCTGCTTCTGGCAGGGTTAGAAACCCACCTAAAGGTGGCCAAAGGAAATTTTTATGAAGCCTTAATACACTAAAACCCAGTAGATAGTTCCTAATGTGCCAAACCCACCATAGTCTGTCCCTGTTAGCTCAGTTCTAACATACCTGTTAGTTCATGTTTATGATTGACATGTACATCATTTTGAATGTCTGAGTGTTGTCTGTTCACCTTGTAAACAGAAGTATTGGTACAAGGGATGGTAAGGGCTCTGGGGAGGAAACAGTGGTTGGCATAGCTGATGCTTTCTAACAATAGCACTGGCTTATTCTGATGTAGAGCAAAAGCCTGTGTTGTACTGTCATCCCTGATGCTCAGCTGTAATTGCTGGTTTGGGTTTAGGTAAGGTTTCCTACGAGAACTCAAAAGTTTCTTGTGCCCTGATTTTTGACTGGGCAGGATTAGAGAGGCACAAGAAGAGGCCCTGAGGCTTGCAGCTGGGAAAAGAGAAAGGTGATGAGGAAAAGAAGGTGCTGGGATGCACCTAAGTGTTTCAAACATTGTTGGAATTTTGAAGTAGGGAGATGTTTCCCACTCATTCCTAGAAAGGACATCTAACTCAATTCTGCTGTTTTGCACTGTAGCTCTCCCTAGATGTATCTAACATTTGAAGAAAAAGTGATGAAGCCATGAGGAATTCGAATTGAAATATGTTTGATGAAGATCCTGTTCTGGTTGACCGTTCTGAAACTTCATCAATAGGCAACCAACTTCAAATAATTTCCTCTTGGAGCTTATTCTGACAGAAAAGACGAATTACCTAACTGAAAACCAGCTGGTTGTTGCCAGCATTCAACAGCCTAATTTCATTCGTCTTGTGCAAACAGAAAGTAGCATGCCTTATATGGGGTCTTACAGAAACTTGAGATTTAGGGAAAATAAAACCAAGCCTACAGACATTTGGGCCCTTTAACAGCTCCCACAATAGTTTGTCCCCCTGTCAGAGAGCTCCGCAAGTGACAAAGCAGCGTGTTCAGTAGCTGTGCACACTGAAATCTGCAGGCTGTGTCATAGCTTAGTTTAACTCAGTGACCTCATCTCTGTTCAGTGGCTTTTAGTAGCTGTTCTCTGTGCTTGCCTGAGTGATCTGAGTGGAGCCCTGGTATCTGCAGCTCCATCAACTGACTCAACGTGCTAATTAGTCACAAAGGAGCCGTGTTCCCACAGGATTGGCGCTGGGACTGTTTGTTTCCCTCTCTTTAAAGCCAGAGTTGCCTTCAGCTGCCCAACAGTCAGGTTAATGTAGCAGATCTCACCAGTAAGGTATGGTCTGTGGACTAGGTCAGTTCAGAAGTGCTGAAAATGGTAATGGAACATACTGTTGGCAACAAAATTGTAATCAGTAGGTATGTGAGCGATTGGAAGTTAATGGGAGGGGTCAGCTATGTACTCCTGAAGTAAACAGTACAAAGTACACTCCCAAAGTTCTTAAGTTCTGGATGTTTCTTCGTTTACAAAATGTGAAAAAAACCCCAAACTCAACCACCAAACAAAACTGAAACACCCCTTAAAAACTCAAACCAAACCATAAAGACAAAACCCCACACCATCAAAACAACAAAAATCCAAGCCAAAAAAACACACTCTTCTTTTCAAACTGTAAAATGCAAGTAGCTACAATAATTTCTTCAGAGGAGAAAGGGAAGAGAACATACATGGAAAACACAAAGCCTTGATAATGGTGGCTGAAGGTGTCAGTGGAATATCCAGAGCCAGTAGAACAATAAGAGTGTTCAGGTATTGCAGGAGGGGAAATTCAGACTTCAGCAGTGTATTTGTCCAGTAACAATCATGGTACAGAAATGGCTGCTCTTTTTAATGTAGGAACAGGGGACTGAGGAAACCTCCCAAGATTATGATTCTTCCGTTTCTTTAGCTGTCAAATCTGGTTTTTAGTTATTACTATAAAACGGTTAAGTACTGCTAAAATTATTTCAGATTTCCCTTTCAGAAATAGTCTGATACAGTTACTTTTTCTGTGAGTAGAAAAGAAAAATTACTTTTCAGTAGTCTACCTAGAGAGATCAGGCAGCGACTGTAAAATACTCTCAGGCGTTTGGTGATGTGGCATCAAATGCGACACAAGGTGACTTTAGTTGTTACTGAACTAGAGTGGGTATTGTGGGCTGAGGAAGTTCCACCTATATTATGTGACTGATACTTGCAGCTCTCAGAAAAGCATGGATCAAATTAGAAACAAAAGCTAGCACAGAAGGCTGAGCTGTCAGCAGGTAAATGTTACCATTGGCATGACACTGCTTTTTCTAAGTGCTGTATCCCGTGCTGATACTGACTTTAAATCACTGTCCTGCAGGAGATGGCATCTCTGCCAAGTCCATGTCAGTTGTATTTCCTGAGGGAAGGCAGTGCACTTGGTGTCATCACCTCTCATTTTGAAGAAGTGATACCAAAAGCACTGGGGGGAAGAATATGAGAGTGTGTGTAGGCCCCAGATGAAGGATTGGGATCCAGCATAGCAGGATGTCTTACACCATGCTCATCTAAGTGTTCATTTGGATATCTTTCATAAATACTGTAACATTAATTTATCAGATGTAATTATAAACTTCTGTCTGGAAAAGCAAGTGAAGAGAATTGGCAAGTACTTTCGTTCTGATTTTTCTAATTTTTAGGATGTGAAATCATCAGCTGTCATGCAGTTTTAGTTAAATATTATTTGAGGAATTTTGTTTTAAAACAGTAACTTTTATGGATACTTTTACTGAAGTAAGGATGAGTTTCCAGAAGATACACTAGGTGCATAGAAGGATTTAAAACCTTTTAAGTTTCTTGTAATGAAACAGCAAAATCCCACTGATTATAAAATAGTCCTTTTTTCCTATTCCAATTCTTTCTCACTCACCATGCCTAGCATTATTTTTCAAAAAAGCCAGACATGCAGAAGTTAATGGCATACCTTTTGAAAATTAAATTGAAGTCATTCATACAGTTTTTGAGATGGGAAGCTTGCTTTCTTTTTAACCTGTTGAAAGATACTGTTTTCTTCCATTTCAGCCCAATGCATTTGTTGACAGTCTTGTAAAATACTCAGAAATATATTTGAGACTTCAAAATATTTTGACCTACTTACAATCAGTTTTTGTTTTTGAATGACATGTATCTTAAATCTGTTTCAGGAAATATCTTTTAAGTGCTAGAAAATGTCCACTGAGTGTTTAATCCTTTTATTTTATTTTTTCCCCCCTCTCCTGTAGTTCTCATGCCTTTGATAGATCGTATGGGAGATGCCAAAGACCAAGTTCGAGAGCAAGCACAGAATCTTATATTGAAATTGATGGACGAAGCAGCACCGCCCATGGTATGATTACTTAACGTGAGCTTATGACTTACGTATGAACTTTGAATATGTCACAATGTTGTGGCGACTGTTAATGGGGTATATGTTAAAGATAATGGATTGACACTGATGCATTGTTCAGGTAAAGATAAAAATCTTGGCACAGTGCGATTCTCCTTTTTTTTGCATATCGTAGCTAAATTCTGTGTAGACATTTTCATGTCATGTGGCAGGACTTTGTTAATTAAATTGAGTCCTACAAGGAAGCTGAAGAGGGACTCTTTGTTAGGAACTGTAGTGGTAGGACAAGGAGTAATGGGTATAAATTGAAAGAGGGGAAGGTTAGATTAGATATTAGGAAGAAGTTTTTTATTGTGAGGCTGGTGAGACGCTGGAACAGGTTGTCCAGCCCCAACCGTGGTCATGGTCAAGGCCAGGCTGGATAAAGCCTTGAGCAACCTGGTCTGTGGTGAGGTGTCCCCGCCCATGGCAGGGTAGGGGTTGGGACTAGATGATCTGTAAGGTGCATTCTAACCCCTTAACATACTGTGATAACGAATTAAAGTATGTTCAAATCTTCTCCTGGATTTGAGTTTGTATAATGGGAATGAAGAAGTTTATTTAGCTCCAAATTAATTTTAAAATTAACCTTGTGCTTGAACATGTAGTACTAGTCCTGCAGTTGAGGTGCAGACTTTCTAATTTAGGAAATCTGGCTTTCTAGCTGTATGGCAACAATCCTCTGTGAATCTTGGACAAACTGAAGTGGGGATAAGTTGCCCTCTGACTTGTCGTCTTTGGTTGTAATGAGGTTTGCTTGACTCAAACTTCAGGTTTTAGCATTATATGGCTTCCAATCTACTCTGTAATTCTGAAAAATGTAGGATTGTTTAACGAGATTATATTCTTTGAGCACTGATGTTATTTGGAACTCTGGAGACCCTGGTTGTGACTAGGAACTTATTATTTGAGCTTCTAATTTCTGAGGAAAATCCATTTCTGAGTTTTAAGTGCAGAAGTTAATAGGGAACAAAAACGAAATTCTTGTGCATGCTAATGCTCGGCGCTGCTTATTCATAGATACAAGTCTAAATGTTTGTGCACAGTGAATAAGATGTTGCAGACTTGATCTGCAGTGAGAAAATTATTCTCAGTTGCTTTGCTTGCTTGATAGAATGGGTAGCATGTTAGGCAACTATAGAACATGTTTATCTCCCTTCTGACATGAGGTATTTTCTCACATGACTTGGTTACAGATCTGACTGGGATTTAGGCATCAAGGTCTAGCACTGTCATCCACAAAGACATGCCTTTATCTTTTTCAGAGTTGCAGTTTTGGTCATATTAATTGAGAGGGAGACATTGCAGCATCTTTTTGTGCCTAAGTGCAAGTAGTGTGTGAGTAATGTGTTCAGTGCCCAAGATGTTCCCAAGTACCCAGCATACAGACCTGAACCTCTACAGCAATAGCATCTGGAAAGTGCACAGCAGAACATCTTGGACATAGCTTCATTTTGAACAGTTGCTGATAAAGAATGTGGTGGTAGTTGCTTCATGCTGAGTCCTCATCACGAGAGTTTTAGATGACAGGTCCATCTTTCAGTTCGTGCAGAGTTGTTAGGCTGTACACTGAGGTGATGGAAGGAAGCTTCTATCCCCTTTGAAGGTAACTCTCAGTGTCAGAAAACATACCAGGTTTATGGGGTCCAAGGAACAGTGTGCATATGTAAGAGAAGGTATGGCTCTCCTGCTGACTCCCCCAGAGTGGGAGAATCCTGACTTTGGTTGCCTGGACAGTTTATGGATCATTAAAAATTTGGATTAAAAGCATCAATCATCCTCACAGCAGGGACCAAAACAAAGAAGTCTTTCCTGTGCCTCCAGCACTGAAATACAGAGCTTTAGGCTCTTTGCTGCAGAGAAACATCCCTTTAGAAGAGCTGGGTGGAATAATTCTTAGGGGATAAGTCCTGGAAGTCAACTCATTTTGTCGGTTCCTGCAGGTTGTTGAATAGCATTTAATTTGTCCTGTTAAATCCCTTTTCTTGTTTTGGTTTTGTTTGTTGTTTCTTGGGTTTGTTTTTTGGTTTTGTTTTCTTTTTTTTTTTAGCAAGGACTAAATGTAGCTGGTTCTAGACAGGAAAGCATAAAAATATAGGTGGTATAAATGTGCATGAATGGGACAAAAGGAGGGCGACATCAACTGTTGCTAGCAAGTTGCGAGAGTGGAAATTCTAAGTAGCCATTTGAATTTCCCTGTTTAGAAGAATTCAGTTCTTAAAGAAGGATTAATTTAGTGAAAGACTAAATTTCTCTTCAGTCTGCTTTGTTTGTTTCAGTGCTTTACAGTTCTCTCTCTACCTGTATTTTTGTACATCTAGCAGGGAGATTTCCTTTTTCCCATGTTTGCCTGTGACAATGGGTTAATTGGGAGGATGTTTTCTTCCATAAAATCCTGTCCTTTGCTGTTAAGCTGTGCAGTTTTGGCAAGCCATATCCTGCTTGTCTAAAGTTTGTTTTCTCTAAATGCAGTGAAGTATAAAACAAACAAACAAAAAGCCACAGATGGGACCAAATTACCAAGCAGGGCACTAATTGGAAAATTTCATGTCTGCTATGAAGTGAACTACCTCATTAATAAAGAGGATGCACATTTGCTGCTCTTACACTCTCTGTTCTTGTCGATCAGTAGCTGCTTGTGAGGGGTTTGGGTTTTTTGTGAGTTTTTTTCCAGAAAGCCGGGTACGATTGCAGTAATGAGTATCCCCTACATTTTAGCTGTTTGTACGGGTGTCTCTGTAGGCTGCAGTTGCAGCACTCTGGGGTGCAGCTGGGATGAGGGAGGTGCCTGGACTGCAAAGTGTGCAGCCATCGCTAGGCAACGCTCCCCGGATGCTGCAGGGCTGTAATGGCAGCTGCAGCCTGGGTCTGTGCATCGCCTCCCAAACACCACGGAGAATCCCCAGCCCCGTAAGCTACGCGTTTACACTTATTGCACCCTGACGTGCAGCTAGAGAACGGTGAGGACATGGGAAGGTAAAAAGATAACCGAGGAGGGAAGGAGTCGGAGCACGCAATGAAAAACGAGTGCGCAAGAAGGTAAAGGAGGGTTTAGTGAGCCGGAGAGTCGTAGTACGGGAAGCAGCACTAGCACAAAAGGAGAACTGAAAGCAGAACAAAAATGGAAGCGAAGGAACCGGAACGAACGGGCAAGAAATAACTGAAAAAGGAAGAAATAAATCTAAAGCAAAAGTATGGGAGAAGTGGGATAGCAGAAGTATGGATAAGGATGAGCTAAAATGGATGGGAGTAAATTTTGGGTGGGAAACAAGACTGTGAAGGAAAAAGAATATAGTAACTTATGCTTGAGTCAGTAGTTTGTAACGTTCATGTTTGTTTTGTGTGCGTTAACTGGAACAATTCTGTATGTTTTAAAAGCTGTTTCTCCAACAAAACTGCTAATGTTTCTGAAGGATGTTTTTTTTTTTTTTTTTAGGAATTGGCTTTGGCGTAGTATTAATCTGTGTTGTGTTCCATACTGTGCATTTAATAACTTAATGTTATCACAGTGGACCTGTCTTCTGTTGTTTTGGTTTTGGTCTTTTTTTGCAACTATTATGAATGTAATTATAGAATACGGATAGAATTACATTGTGTTGTGCTCCTGGTAATTAAAGACAATTATTTCTGCTTTTATAGTACATTTGGGAACGCCTTGCTGTTGGTTTTAAACACAAGAATTACCGGTCCCGAGAAGGAGTGTGTTTGTGTCTTGTCGCTACCTTAAACATGTAAGCTTTTTGTTTCTATGGAGATGTGACCGTTCTATCCCTCTTCTGAATGTCATATTCCTCTGAAACTAATACTTTAGGAAGTCTGATTCGATTAAATTGATAAATGAGAAAAATCAAACAACTAGTGAGCTTTCTGAATGACTAAACTGATAGAATTTTTATCTTATTTGAAAGTAGGACTAGTAAGAGAAAGACAGAGCTTGAATTTGAAAGTAGATAAAGGACTAGTAAGAGAAAGACAGAGCTTGATAGAAGTCAGTTTGTATTCTGTAAATGCTAAGCAAAAAGTTCACTTCTGCATAAATTCTTGTCTGTGGGGTTTTTTTGTAAAAAGTATACTTTTCTTTTTTTTTTTTGTCTAGTTATGGTGCACAACCATTAAGCCTCAGCAAGTTGGTACCACATCTATGTACAGCGTTTGGTGACTCCAACAGTCAAGTAAGGATTTCGTTACTTACTGGTGCTTGAACAGCTATACTTTGGCAGAGCAATGAAGGCAAAATAAATATAAGCATTTAAAGGAAAGCTAATAGAGTGCTTGTATACTGCAGATTGTTATTTACTCCCATGAGAAACAATAAACCTATTTTCTTCTTAATCAGTCCATCCACTGGAAGATGAAACTAGAGTTGCAAAGGCAGCAATATTGTGATACACTGGTCCCTTCAGTTTTGTCTTCAGAGGCTGAAACTAGTAATTTCTGAAAGCAGTTGTTTCTTATAGAGCATGTCGAAAGAAAATAAAGAAAAATAAGTTGCTGACACAAAGAGTGGCCTCCAGAAGCAGCCCCTATATGAAACCTGCAGTAGTTTGCCAAATTTGCTGAATATAACATTATCACGTGTAGTTATTTGCTAAGTGGAACCCAAATGGCATTTGAGAACATGCAAGACTGTCATTAAAATCCGTTAAGTAAGCAAAAACATCTGCAGTGAAAATCAAGATATAGTGCATAATGGTGACATTGGAACTTTAGAAAGTCTTCAGATGGAAATTGATAAGATATCTCGATTTATCTGAAGTTGTGTCTGAGAGGAAACGCTAAGAATACAGTAAGGAAGAAGACAGCATTGGTAGGATGTGGGCTTATAAACAAGATAGGTCTTTATGCTTAATTCCTGAATGCAGCAAAGTTATTGTCTCCCATATAGTGTAGCTTTGTTCTATTCTAGAAGACTTGTGTTAAGAATTTGTCCTGTTTGTTGCTCATTAGTAAAGATGTAGTTCGTATCTTGCTAGAGCAATTGTGTGCTTAGTTTGAACTGCTCCTAAGAACAATACTGAAGTCATTCCAGTAATTCTTTGTAGAGAATAATGGCATTTACCAACGTTTGGCAGTTTTATTGTGATGACTATGGTTTAAAATTTTTAAAGACACACTCCCATCTCCTTGATTTAAGTGTTCTTTCCCCTTCCACAATCTCTCCTTACTCCCTTTCTTGTGCTGATGTCATGAATCCACTTGAAGTAAGCAAACAAAATGCTGATCACTTTGGCCCACGCTTAGTTTTCCAGAAGGGCCTTGTTGTGTGTACAAACAGATGAAAGCAAGATGAAGTGTCAAGACTGAGTGCAGGAACTAACTTTTGGAAGTACTGCCCACTGTGATAGAGTCCTAAAAAAGCACGGTTTTTCCACAAATATTATTCTTATGTCAGTCCCAGAAATTCCCTCTAGAGCTGTTATTTCTAGAATTTTTTACCATCTGGGGATGCTCTAACTTGGAACAAATACCATCTTGAAATAACAGTTGTATTTCCTTTCCTTTTCATCCTCACTGCTTTAACTGTTTTGTGAAATGAGTTGGCATACAGTTCCATAGAAACTGGAAGATTAGTGGGCTGTCAGCAAATGTTGTTTTGGTTTCTGTAACCCTGAAATTAACCATTTAAACTACATTCACAGGTGAGAGATGCTGCCATACTAGCCATTGTAGAGGTTTATAGACATGTGGGAGACAAAGTACGAATAGATCTTACAAAGAGAGGAATTCCTCCTGGAAGGTGAGTTAACTGTTTTGGTTTTGTAATCCTGAGCCATTATGTGTTACTGTTCTTCATCTGAACTTTAAACTCACTAAAAACTTTGGTTTAAAATTATTTTAATATTTATTTTATCTTCTAGGTAGTTTTGCTTCCACCGTAATGTTACTAGTGTTCCTGACTCTGTTGTGTGTAGATTAGTTTATATGAAATAAACATAACCATTCTTATGTTGCTATCTTGGTAAGCATTTAATTAATTAAGAAAGCTAGACAGAGCTTGAAATTGTATGTCGTGGGAAAGACTGTTTATTGAATAATATCTTTCAAATTTCTTATTAAAATTTTTTTCACTTTTTAAAATTTGTTAACCCCATACCACTTTACCCTGAGTCTTCATCTCACTTCTTGATTTTGATAAAGCTGAATGTATTTACTACTTGGTGTCAGAGTATCAGAAGGGATACTGTGCCTCATCAGACCCTTCTAAAAAACTAAGAGCTCTAGTTTTTGATGATCATTTGTATGATACCAAAATGCAGCTTGATAATATATCAAAATATGTGTCCATCTTTGGGGGCCCCTAACATGAGAAGGACATGGACCTGTTAGTGTAGAGGAGAGACGCTGAGTTCATTAAGGGGCTGGAGCATCTCTAGTATGAAGACAGGCTGAGAGAGCTGGGGTTGTTCAGCCCAGAGAAGAGAAGACTGGGGAGACCTTAGAGCACTTTCCAGTACCTAATGGGTCCCTGCAAGAAGCTGGAGAGGGTCTTTTTACAAGGGCATGTAATGATAGGACAAAGGGGAATGGTTTCAAACTGAGAGAGTAGGTTTGGATTAGATATTAGGAAGAAATTATTTACTGTGATGGCAGTGAGACATTGGAATAGGTTGCCCGAAGGAATTGTGGATGCCCCATCCCTGGAAGTGTTCAAGGCCAGGTTAAGTGGGGCTTTGAGCAGGCTAGTCTAGTGGAAGGTGTTCCTGCCCATGGCAGGGGTGTCAGATTTAGATGATCCAAAACCATTCTGTGATTCCTTGAAAATGTCATAGGAGAATGGTGTTGAATTTACTGTTTGACATTCCAGGCAGAGTTCAGCCTGTTTGGGCAAAAGTTCACCCTGCATCTTCTTCTGTTTAGTGACTGTCACATTTTTAGAATATCAGTAGATTAGACGGTTACCACAGAAGTTTAAGCCATATGGTTACTACAATTTCGGAAATTAATTTCCATAGCAGATAATTGGAACATACCAGAGAAGATCCATCTTGCATTCAGATAGGGTCTTGGGCATCCTTTGGAACAGAGAATAAGAGTAAAGGAGCAGAGATAACATAATCTTTATACAATGAATATTGGGTCTGATTATAAGTTTAGGTTCAGCACTCACTCTTCACAATTCTATGTGATACAAACTGTAAGTACATCTTGGGACCCAAATAGGATTAAACACCATAGGTGCTTTGTACTCTCAGGGCAATCAACAGCTTCTAATTTAGTTGCAGTAGGTGCCAAGTTGTTGTTTCTACTGTCTGAATCAGTTGAATACAAAATTCCCACTGATCTGAAAGCAAGCATGGTTGTATCATTTGCATACACATAAAGAAGCAAGACTCTACTTGGTGCAAGTTAAATGGGTTGTTGCCACTGAATCTCAATAGTTTTGCACCTGACACATAGGGCTAGTGTAAAATAGTACGTGAGCTGAGTCTCAGTGCTGTGTCCTATGCTGTAGTTTTCAGGCTGGGATAAAAGGGGGAGTGAAGATTTATTTGAGTTTCTCATGAGGCTGCTAGTCTCTGTACCATCCATTGCTGACAGAAAGCAGAATTCCTGCAGTCTCTTCTTACTCCTTCACGCAAGTAAGAAGGCGTTTGACAAAGCTCAGGAAAGACAGATTAGCTCTATGGTAGCTCAGACTGTTGTTCCTTCAGAGGCAGAACTAATTTAAGATACTTCTTCCTCTCTGCCTGTCAGAAGTTTTCCCTTCGCTTAGATGCATTAAAATTTTCATGTGGTTATGCAGGAGCTATGATCCGTGGGAGAAGAACCTTTGATGTAGAGTATCATCTTATCATTATTCGGAGGGGAATCTGTGTTCATACTTATGTGTCTGGGTAGGTTTTAAGGGGTTTAAGTATTACAGATAATTTGTAGTTCAGACACGGCTGCTTTTAGTTGTTGAATTCAGCCTTAAAGAACTGAACTGCAGCTCCTTCATTGAATGTCAGTGCATTAAAAATTGTGTGTAAACATAACTATTGGCAGAAAAACCTATTACTTCAGTGTTTGGTGCACACATAGAATGTAGGCTGGTTTAGTTTACATAACAAATTGCACATTAGAGAGCTCTGGGTTGCAGCTGAATGCAGTCTGTCCTAAAGTATTGGAAATGAGAGCTCCTGTGTGATGAAAGAAAGGCAGGAAAGTTAATCAAGCATTGTTTTGAGAAATTGTCCTGACTCCCTCAAATATGCAAATGGTATATACATGTTGTGTCTATATAAAGGCAAATGTGTTTACTAATTTAATAATAGGAGACTTAAAAGATTTTCTCATCTGCACTTGGTAGGTTTTGTCTTTGTGGAAAACACTGGATTTTCTAGAGAGGTTTATCGGACCTGTTTGAATATAGGTAATCAATGAAATATGGGAACTTACTTTTGTAGTTTAACTCTACCTGGTACTTTTTATTTTTCTTCAGTGTTTTTCTATTCTTTACCAAGATTATTTTGTGAGTTTGTTTATAAATAAAGTCACTGAGCTTCTATTTGTTATTTTTCAACTTAAAAATCTTTGAACGATATTGTGCTTTTTGCTTGAAGCACATTCCTTTTTTTTGAGAAAAATCAGTATCGAGTCAGTGGTTGGAAATTTGGATGTTGTTTTCCCTTCTGTCAAAGTTGCTGCCAGAGAGGTTTGACAGTCTTTGGTATTGGGCCTGAAAGCATTAGTGTTAATATATTTGTGGATACTGAAAGTGGATGTTATATTTCTTGTTCAGTGAGCCAAGAATAGTGAATAGGTTTTGTTCTATATGGGCCAAATTGAATTTGTTGCAGTATGGAATCTGTGTGGCTGATCTTCCCTGAATGGAAACAGTATATGTGGCTCTGGATAGCAGTGACTTAGTCTGAGTGTTAAAAGCTTTTATCTTTCACTAATTCATCTGGCAAATTTCCTCACTGTTACTTGAGAACATAAATGTATAAAACCAGTTATTTGTTTAGTTCTTATGTCCAGGGCCACAGCTTCATATCCTGAAATGTTAAAGCATATTGCAGTATGTATGTGCATACCACATAAAATGTGGTATTCAGAAATTAGACTTATCTGTCTAGTTCATGTTGTAGATGAGGTCCATCTGTGTGTCCAGATGTGGACACATGTCTTCAAGATGCTTTCTTTTTCTTTCTTTCTTTTTTTTTTCCCCCCTTGGAAGTGGAAAATATGGAGAAATAAGTGCAAAGTTTCATATGGGCCATTTCCTGCTTTAGACTCCCTTTGGACATGAACAACAGACTAGTTACCAGTCCTTTATCCTTCTGCTATTGACAGGGGAGTGGTGCTCTATTGCCTCTTCATCACCGGGTCCAAACCTCTAGGTATCATCCTCTGCCTGTCAAATGAAGTTGCACACCATCAAGCTTGGTCATAAATAGCAGCTTTTCAGTCTAGAAGTGTAGTGCATGTTCTTTGGTAGCAGCTGCGTTTCCCTGTGTTTGCGTGTCACCTCAGGCCGTGTCTTAGAAGGGCATGTATTCCTCTCATTGAACATACCATAATATGGCAATACTTTGGTACAGACCTGTTGCCTGCAGAGGAGAGGGTTTAGCAGGTTGCCAGGAGCCCCTGTTTAAAGTGCTACAACCTCATACATTCATTTATTCACTGAGACAGCAACAATCATCCAGCCCATGCAGAAATGGCATGCTGTCCTGAACATGTTTTTTGTCCATGGGGATTTTTCCTTCCATATTTGAAGTTGCAGAAGACCTGTCTATGCCTTTTTGGAGAAAGAAGATAGTATTTCTGTTCAC